GGTGCTGATTTCTCAAGTTCCTGATGCTCCCCATCCAACCTTTGCAAACAGATCCCAAGAGCCCTCTGTCCCAAGCTGCAGGCTGCTTCCTTCCCCCACGGAGCTGACCAGGCGGCAAGGACCTCTTGAATTCTCTAAGCATCCTTCAGGGATTAGGCGCAGCCAGTAGGGATCCCTTGGGTGATAGGACTCAGCTATTGTATGTAGACCAAGGTGGGTCTCCTATCAGCGGGAGGCCCTGCGGAATGCTTTGAAGGCGTGGCCTCTTAATGTAATTTATATCCTGATTGTCTGTCCCATCTAGTGGGAGCCAATGGGGTGGTACCCACAAGATAAAAATAACCTTTACATTCAAGAGATAAGACAGGCAGATAAAGGGTCTAGAAAGATGGTCCAGCCTGTACCCCTCAAGCCCAGCCAGTAAGGGGGTGTTTCTTACATGAACCCTAACGCACAAGAGTATTTTTACAACTGCTGTCATAAACCTCCTCCCCTAAGTTGGCTGCCCATGGAGGGGGTGGAGCTCCCCTAGGTGAGTCAAAGGCCAGCCCGGTCTCAGAAGCCCCATTAAGTTGTTAAGGCATTTAGTGTCCCAGACAGGGCCCAATGCAAGGGCAGTTCAAATCCCCACACAAATGGGGAAGGGGGATAGGGAGACAAGGCATCCACCTTGGCCAGGGACAACAGCTGGGGAGGAAGCAGTCAGGCAGCCAGTCAGGAGACCCTGCGCCTAGCCCATGCCATCCCTGACAGCTCTCAGCATCTGTATGGGTCAAAGCAAGATGGACAAGGTGCAGCTGCTCAAAGTCCTATTCTGAACTCGGGCAAGCAACTTAAGTATACAGTCCATTTCCAGCCCGGGAGCTGGCTGTGCAGGGGCAGGCAGTGATGCATAGGGCTTGGCAAGTGCTCAGTCAGCATTCCCTATTCTGACTCTTCTAATGCACAACCCGGCCTCCGGGTACTGCTGTGCCTCTGCAGCGATGACAACAGTAGCATACACCCTGGCACAGCGGCTTAGTGTTTGATCCAAGATCTACGGTTAGATCCCTATGTGATCGGCCACATAGCAGGGACGGGGGCAGAAGACAGGATTCTCCATGTCCCCAGCTCTCACGGAATGCCACGGAAGTTGAGTCCACTGGACTTGCAGAGGGAGGAGGCACAGCCACGAGGGGTGGGGGTGGGGAATAGACATAAAAAGACTTGGTACAAGAGACCTGAATGTTGCCCTGACAGGCAGCTTCACATCTCTGTGCTGTTTCCCAGCAGAGCGTCCCCATTTCCTTCTCACAAGAGGATGCAAGGGGCAGGATGACTGCATGGCACAACTGAGGCTGGTGAAGACCTGCCCCTCCCGAGCCAGTAGCCAGGTGAGTCGGCTGCAGCCTGGGCACAGAGTACAGCAAGCAAGGCCAGCACTGACCATGCAGCCAACACCAGGGCTCAGGGTAAGGCAAACCCAGCTTCTATCCCACACCAGCCTACTCCTTGGGCCAATCAATACCAATACACACACCAGTCTCCAGCCAGTCCCCTTTCCTATGATAGCCCTGCCCTCTGACCTTTCAGGGGCCTTTCTTGGGATTCAGCTGCAGAATGGAGGTAGAGGCCATCACTCGGGACCCACTCAATGGCCTCAGAATGGGCTGTCATGGTGCCTATAACCAGGGACAGCTCCTGCTGGCGCAAGCTGGGAGTGCAAAGAGGGCATATAAAGGCCTTCCAGGCCGAAGACAAACGGCTGCCTGCAGCCTGCTCTAGTAATGGCCAGGCCCCCAAGAAGAGCCAACAAAGGGTGCCCCTGTGACACACACTGGAGAGATGAAGGCTCCTCAGCCGGCAGCCAGGCTGGTTCAAAGACCCAACTTAATTGTCAATTAAGCATGCATAAGGGGGACAAAGCCATGACAACCCAGGGCTGCATGCTGGTGTGTGATTGTAAAGCCAGGAGGGGCCACCCGGCCAACAGCTGATTCTGCTGACAATGTGTTTGTGGAGCACCTTGTAACCAATCGGCTGCTGACAGAGACGCAGTGCTCCTCCTGCTACCCCTACTGGGCCGGACATTCCGGACCAGGGTCATGCCTTGGTCATTGTGGGCAAGCGGGCTACTAGGCACTGAGTGTGGCAGGAGGGAAGGGGCTCCAGGAGAGAACTGAGGCTCTGCCTCCCCAGCAGAGGCTTCTAGCAAAGACTTGTTTCTCGACTGTGGCCAGCCCCTCTGGTTCAGGGACTGGCGTCTGTGGGAGTGGACAGGGGGTGGAGACTAGAGGATGGGGGCTGTGTCCACTCCTGCATTCCAGCCCAGCCTGACACTGCTGGTACCAGATGCTGCTTCCTCCTTGGTGATGCAGCCCCCTTTGCAGTTCTGCTTCTCAGCTGCACCTGGGATTTCAGATGCTGTCCCTTGGCCATGGGCACTGTGAGTCTCTGCAGACTGAAGCCCATCCCTTGCGCCAGGCTCCATCTGCTGTCTGTCTGGTCTTGTACACTATCCAGAAAGCCCACCCCAGAGCCAGGCAGCCTGGCACAGGCACACAAGGCTACAACCCCAGGCTATGACTGCCTCTGGCCACTCCCTACGATCCCTCTTAGGAACCACGCCCCAGTATGTGACTTTAAGAACACAGCTTCCTGGGGGCTAGCGCATAGGCTCAACTGGCTAATCCTCTACCTCAAAGTGCTGGCATCTCACAGGGGCACCAGTTTGTGTCCCAACTGCTCCGCTTATGATCTAGCTCCTTGCTTAGGGCCTAGGAAAGCAGTGGAGAATAACCCAGGTTCCTTGGATCCCTGCACCTGCCTGGAGACCTAGAAGACTGAGTCTTTGGATCAGCTCAGCTCTGGCCATTAGAGCCATTTGGAGAACTGACAACAGCAGTAACCATGATAATAATAATATGGCTTATTGGGAAAGGCACTATCTAACCACTCATACATTCAACCCACACACAGAGGTAGGTAGGAAGGCCTGCATTTACAGGAAGGAAACTCAGACTTTTGAAAACTTGGTACACTGGTTAGAGCTAACTTTCAAAATAAGACTACACCTCAAGAATCCAGCCCCTGGGTGGAAGAAAGAACAACCTCTGAAAGCAGACTTCATCCCATAATTGCTGTTGCAGATATACCACAGGGCTTTGCCCTCCACGGAAAGATCCACATGGCCTCCCAGGATAACCTTGAGTCCCAGCTGATCCAGAGGGCTGCACAGCAGTCAGCCACCATCCCTCCAGGGACACATCTCAGCCTACCCACCACTATGCCTTGCCAGTGCCTGGTAAGCACTCACTTCACGGTTATGCTGCAGGAAGGTGTGCAATGAGCATCAGCAAACACAAGCTCCAGACCTTTGTTTTGCTAATATTGCTCTGGGTAACTCTGGCAAGTCACCACCTCTTTCTGGGCCTGGGTTTCTCCAAAAGTTCCTGCCAGTGAGCCCTCCTATTCTGTGATTTGCAATAAATAAATAAACAAAATGTTCACCTCCTGGTGGGTGGGGGCGGGGATTAGTCACCAGGCTGCATTTGCCCATTCTGCCTGGTCTCTCATACCTGCTCTCTGGCCCTCCAGCCAGAGTGTCCCCTCGCCAGGAAACCGAGCCCCTAAGCTGATGACCCTAAGATGACCTCTGCGCAACCCCAGCTTGTCAGAAAGCTGCTGGGCCTTTGTTTGGCTTGCAGGCTCCCTGACTTTGGTGTGGAGATCACAGGTCTCAGCACAATAGCCATTGTCTTTTCAATAATGCCCCTTGCCCCAGCCACGCCCCCTGCAGCTCCCAGATTCAGTCCCATAGATGCCTGGGCTGGTCAGGTCTCCAGAGCTTGGTGGTGCAGCCACATGCTGTTGGTACCACTGAGCTCCAAGCTTCCATCCAGGGACTATTCAACTTTGCAATCAGGCCAGTATTTGCCCCAGGGGATTTTCTACCACGGTCCCCCTGGGTGTCTGAGCTCTTCTTTCCATGGGAGTGGGACCCAGAGCAACCTCCAGCCCAAAGCCCAGGCTCCATGCTAGACACCACCAAGCTCTCCGACACCCTTTAAGTGACCACACACATATGAATGCATTAATACAGCTTGTTGGATGGGGGCTCTAAGCTCATCCAGGGGGCACTGGGCACCCCATCATGTGTGTTAGCTTCCAGCTGTCACTTCTGTGCATCAAAAGGGCAAGTGGCAGGTGAGGGGAGAGCAGGCTGCAGAATTCTCAATTAGGAACCATGTTTAGCTGTCATCCTACAAAGCTCTTCTGAGCATCTGGGCACCAAGGAACCCCCAGTGAGCACACTGGCTCCAGGCAACCGCTAGGGGACATGCTCAACCCCAGCCTGTGCCCAACAGGATGCTCAAGCAAAGGGCTGCTGTCGCCACAGTGAGCATGGATGGCCCCACCCCAATCCATCCCTACCCCTTGGGCAGAGATGTGCTGACCCAGCCAGTGCCTGACACGCAGCAGGGCCTGGGTCATTTCAGCCAACACATCATGGCAAAGGCAGCAGGTAACACGCCCTACTGAGATCCCAGCCATACAGGCTGCCTGCCAGTTGGCTGGCCCTTCTTCAAAGGTCCCTGGAAGTGGACAGCGTGCAGGGCTGGGAAATGGCCAGCAGTAGAATCCTCCTCCCAGACGGATCCTCCTCCCAGCAGCCCCATGACAGGCAACTCCACTGTAACTGCTCTGTCTCCTGTTTGGCCCCAGACAACCAGCAAGGCAGCCTACTCAGAGGATAACCCTATGGCCGGCCTGAGCTGCTGAGTCAGCCGCCACCCAGTGGGAAGGAGAACGGCCCGGAGGGCTCCTGGAGGCTGTGTCACTTGCACTGTGATGGTTGAGCAAGGAGTCAGAGGGAATCAGGTCACAGCGGCAAGCTGTTCCCACAAGAATATTCTAGCTCTGAGAGGAGACCAGTCCTAGGGCCAGCCCAAAGCATTGGAGCCACTGGAGAAGTCTCGCCCCAGAGGAGCTCCAGGGAAGAAGCAGTGGCTGCTGCTTACCTGACAGCTTGTTCGGAGGAGAGGCACTGGGCTGGTGATGGGGAGAGCCATGGGCCAGCAGGGGGTTCAGGCTGTGCGACTGGTTGGAGCTGTAAGCGTCCATGGCCAGCTTTTGCCGGAAGGCCTCCTCCTTCCTGCGGTTTGCAAACCAGTTGTAGACGCGGACCTCCGTGACCAAGTTGGAGCCCAGGCCGTGGGCCTTGGAGGGGGACACACCTCGTTGCAAGCACTCCGCCCTGGAACGCAGAGCCAGGGAGAGACTGAGTGAACACCATTGTCCTGGCTCCTAGCGGGGTCCTAACTACCATTGGGGAGCAGAGAGAAAGCTTAACCCTAGGAAGCTGCAGCCTGTACAATCACCAGGTGAGGAGGGCCGGCTAGGGACCTGGACCCCATACCTCGTAAGTTCTGTGGTCCTGGAAGTTGGCGGCTCAGGCTGCGGAGCTAGGCAGCCGAAAAGGAGCAGGCAAGACCCAGCTGGCTTCTCTTGCTCCTCTCCCCTCCCCCCATCTCTTATTCTGCCTTTTCTCTCATTCCTGTACCCTAAAGGTAGGGTCCTTCACCGGCTTGGCAGCATGTCTTGGAAGGAATTCCTGGTCTCAAGGACCTGGACACCAGAAAAGGCACCAAGAAAAGCCACAGTCGCTATTCATACCCAGAATCCTCTGCGAGCAGCTGATTGGTTGGACAGAAAGACCAGCCATGCACAGCTGTCTTTCATTTGATCAGGATGGACGCAACCTGGCCCAGGTGTGTGATATGTAGGCCGATTCCACCACGGGGTCCCACTGGGGCAGGGGCCAGGACACAGCATAAAGGCGCTGACAGATCCCTCTGACTCTCCACTTCTTGGCTTGACCTCCCTGGCCACATGTGTCTACTGCCAAAGCCAACCTAGCCCCGAGCTGGAGAAAGGGCCCAAGCCGTGGCCAGAATACAGGGAAGATTTTTGTCAAAAGCCAATTCTGGAGGTGGGGAAGACAGGCTAGAAATCAAGCCAACATATTTCCAACAGTTTTGTTGGTTTTTGAATTACATCTAGTTGCTAATACACAAAGAATCCTTGTAGGGGCTGGTGCTGTGACATCCCATATCAGAGCACTTGCTCTGCTGCAGCTGTTTTGTTTTTGACCCAGCTCCCTGCTGATGAACCTGAGGGAGCAGGAGAAGATGGTCTGAATGCTTGGGTCTTTGCAGTCATGTAGGAGACCAAGTTAGAACAGTGGGCTCCTAGCCCTTGTCTGGCTCAGCCCTGGCTGGTGCTGGCATTTAGGAGACTGGATCAACAGATGAGAGAGAAGATCTCTCTTAGCTCTCTCCTTCTTTCTCTGTCCCTCTACCTTTATGAGCTCCTGTGGGCGAGGGGACTGAACTCATCTGACCAATCCTTGCTCTCTTGCTGTTTCCTTCTGGGGGTACACTTAGGAGAAGGAGCAGAGGCCAGAGCAGAGCCTACAGCTCCAGGAGATTTATCCTGGCCTGAGTGGAGGTTGGACACCTGCATCTCACGTCACTGCATCATCATTGACCTGCACTGCATCATCTTCCTGGCCCAGGGAATGGGGCTGAGCCCTTGGCTAACAGTCCCTGGTCCATCCAGCTAAACAGGGCTCTACCCTGCATGGCTTCCCAGAGTCTGACCCAGCCATTTCTGCTGGGACCCGTTAGACGATGTGGTCATTGGATGCCTCTTGGATATGCCCACTCAGACACCAGAGTGGGGCTCTGGGGAACACATTTGGGCCACACTTAGCTGGAAAGTCAGTGCCTCAATGGCCCAGGCCTGAGAAGTGGCTGATGCGTCCGTGTGCTCAGCTGTCTGACGGTGGGCACCCCTCCCAGGTGTTACCTGTTGCACTCCTCCACTAAGGCCTCCCTCTCCTCCTTGCTCGGATTCTTTTGCCGGTCGTAGGCCTGGTACAAGATTTGCTGGGATGCGGGCCCCCACTTGAAGCGGTTACGGCGCATCTTCTTATTGCTGGGCTCGGAGCAGGCGTCCTCGGACTGCCCGGGCCCCTGGCTCTGCTGACTGAACTCTGGAAAGAGAAACAGCAGCTGATCCTGACTGCTTTTGTCTGGCATATTTCCAGAACTCTGGACTGTCTGGTTGAATTCTGAAAAGAGAAAGGAGTAGAGTTGATAGGGTCTGTAGCCTTCGCTCAGCAGACAGACAGACAGACAAAGACACCTGGACTCCTGGCCCCTGAGCTTGGTCACCTGCTGTCATCCCTCGGGATGGTGGGGGAGGGGCTACTGAAGACTGCTCCCCACCCCCTCAGTGGCTCCAGCAAAGCACCTCCCCACTCCCCTCTCTTGTAAAGGGAGCTCCACCCTTTGGTGTTCAGAAAATTCTCATCTTTTCCTCCGGCTCGGTGGCTCTCTGACATGAAGCAAGTTTCTGGATGCTGAGCTCTTGTCTTTTGTTAGAGCGATGGGCTTCCCCAAGTCAGTGGAGGGCAGAGGCCCAATTTCTGCTAGACACAACGTTGCCCTTCCTCTCTCCCCATGCAGCTTCTGATTCAATGTTTTAATGGCAGGAAAACATGAAACCTGAAAGTCTTTGAATAAGATGCTGAAATAAATATAAATGGAGCCCTGTGGTGGGAAGAGAACGCACTCTTTAGATTCACAATCATTTAAAAGTTAGGGTGTGTGTGTGTAAGTGTGTGTGTGTGTGTGTGTGTGTGTGTGTGTGTGTGTATCCAAGGGTTCATTTATGAGATGAGACAGGGTAAAGTCTGACAGAGCTTCACACCAACCTGAAAATGAGTAAGTGCAGGAGACGACAAACACAGCACCTTCCCAGGAAAAGCACTGTCTACGTCCCAGAGCCCAGGCCTCTTGGAACCTTCAAAATGTTTTTGTGGGGCTCATGTTGTGGTGCAGTGCTTTAAACTACCTCCTTTAGGGCCCAGTGCAGAAGCTTAGCAGCAAAGGTTCTTCCCTTGAACGTGCAAGGATCCCATATGGGCACCGGTTCTAATCCCGGCAGCCCTGCTTCCCCTCCAGCTCCCTGCTTGCAGCCTAGGAAAGCAGTTAAGGACAGCCCAAAGCCTTGGGATCCTGCACCTGCGTGGGAGTCTGGAGGAGGCTCTGGGTCCTGGTTTTGAATTGGCACAGCTTTGGCTATTGTGGCTGGTTGGGGAGAGAATCACCGGACAGAAGATCTTCCTCTCTGTCTTTCCTCCTCTCTGTATAACTGACTTTGCAATTAAAAAAATAATAATAGGGCCCGGCGCGGTGGCGCAAGTGGTTAAAGGTCCTCGCCTTGCACGCCCGGGATCCCATATGGGCGCCGGTTCTAATCCTGGCAGCCCCACTTCCCTTCCAGCTCCCTGCCTGTGGCCTGAGAAGGCAGTCAGGACGGCCCAAAGCTTTGGGACCCTGCACCCGCGTGGGAGACCCGGGAGAGGCTCCTGGCTTCAGATCGGCATAGTATCGGCCCGTTGCGCTCACTTGGGGAGTGAATCATTGGACGGAAGATCTTCCTCTCTGTCTCTCCTCTCTGTATATCCGCCTTTCCAATGAAAAAATAATAAAAATAAATCTTTTTTTAAAAAAAATAAATATTTAAAAGCAAAGCAAAACAAAACAAACAAACAAATTAAAAAAAAAAACTACCACCTTCAACACTGGCATCCCATATTGGCCAATTTGAATCTTGGCTGTTCTGCTTCTAATTCAGTTCCCTGCTAACGCGCCTGGGAAGGCCACAGAAGTGGCCCAAGTGCTTGGGCCCCTGCCACCCTAGTGGGGGACCTGAATGGAGTTCCTGGCTCTTGGCTTTGCCCTGATCCATATTTCACTATTGTGGCCTTTTGGGGAGTGATGGGAGATCCCCCCATCCCCTCTGTCTTCATTGTTCTGCCCAGCAAATACACATTTAAATATATGTATATATATTCAGTTTTTGTTGAGGGAATAGGAAAAAAAAAAAAAGACTGCACTGCCAAGGTGCTGTGTCACCTAAGGGTGAGACCGGTTTTGCCAAAGAAGAGAAAGTCTGTCCTCTTGCTCACATCTACGTGGAACAGGACTCAGGAGGATGATTCGTTCCATTTTACAGATGAATAAACAGAGGTCAGGCACTCTGCAGAGCATGGACACGTAACAAATCCATTTCCCAGCTCCTGACCTCCAGGTCCTGGACTTTGGTTCCTGGAATCATTCCCACAGGTCTCAGAGTGGCCCAAGGATTCCTGGAGCATGAGTCCCGGCACGTCAGAATTTCCCAAAGTCATCCTGCTTGGTCCTCTGGCCAACTGGATCTCCAACCCTCAAGGTTCAAAAGTCAGGCCAGTACTGAATGTTAAAATGCTCTCCACAACACCCACCCCAGGGGTCACCCAGTCTGTATTTTTCCTCCAGCTGGGAACTTCCTACTAAGGGTCCATTTGGTCCATTGTAAGGGAACAGTGATCTGCTAACCAGCCTAGATGCAGGGCCCAGCTGCAGGTGGTGCTGGCCTGCACGGAAGCAGCTGTTAAGCAGACAGATGTGTGAGCTGTGGGGTCACTGGGGCCTTTGGTTTGGACCCTCACTCACTTTGGATGGCTCTCAGATCCCCTTTAGAGACCAGGGCTAGTGTCTGTCAAATGTATCAGCAGGAAGTCACAGGCCCTGTGGGATAATGTGGGGCTGCAGCCATGTGGTTTAATCCGCCCACCTGCCCCCTACCCTGCCGGGTCACTCAGCTTCCCCATTGGTGGAATGGGACTGGCTAAAAGCTTGCTAGAACATCTCCACTCAACCAGCCCAGACTATGAGGATGACTCAAATGCTCATGTCATACTTTCCAGAGTTCTCACACCTCTTAGATTAGCTGGTCATCCCAGCTGCTCTCCATGCACAGTTACTTGAAGGACATCAAAGATGGTGCATGCTTACGGCACGGTTTGGTACAGAAAATAAGGCATGGGTGGAGAGGCCTATGGTCTGTTCGTGGGGTCAAGTCCTGACTCTGGTTCCCAATTCTAACTTCTTGTACCCAGAACGGCAACATGTCCTGGCTAATGTGCTTAGGTCCCTGCCAGCCATGTGGGAGTCCTGGACAGTTCCTGCCTGCTGGCTTCAGCCCGGTCCAGCCACAGCTGCTGTGGGCATTTGGAGAAGTGCTCCAGTAGACAAGAGCTCTCATGGTCTGTCTCTCTCTCTCTACCTCTCCCTCTCTGTCTCTCTCTCTTTCTTTCTCTCCTTCTTTTTCTCCCTCCCTCCTTTCCCTCTCAAATAAGTGAAGCTAAAGGAGAAGCAATGCCCTGCCCCATAGGAGTTTGTTCTTTCTGTCTTCTCCTGGTGGGCTCTATGTGACATCCGTGGGGTCACCAAGTGTTGACAGCCAGGGAGGGACCTGTGAGTCTCCCTTTAGAGGGAGCAAATGTTCCCATCGTTGCCGTGTATACGGCCATTCTGTGGTGAAGCACCAGGCCACGTTCCCCTTGAGTCCCCCTCCCCGTGTGATTTCACACCCTCTCCTTGTAAAATGCATTGTTATCTCCATTTTACAGGTGAGGAGGCTGAGGGTCAGACATGCCCCATGTCTCAGGGACTTGGGGCAGGGAGCCAGGTTGTGAATCCAGCCTGCAGGCAGGCAGGCAGGCATTGGGTTCCCAGCCACCAGCCTGATCATCCCTCTTTGCTCAAAACAAGACCTGAACCGCAAAACCCACCGAGCTTACTGGGGTGGAGGTAAGGAAACTGACCCCTACGGCTCTACAGGTGGTGGGCAGTGAGACATACTGCCACCTGGAGGAGGTGCTTGCTTTGGAGGAGGGCATGTAGAACCCAGCACTGGCTTCCATTGGCACAGTGGATCTGTGTGCAGTTGCTCGGAAACACCCAAGTCCTAGAAACCCCATGGGCTGGTCTCCAGCCTCTTGGAATGATTGGAGAATACAGATTCCCCATCCCTTGAGTCACCTCTGCCCTGATGAACTGAACAACAGGTGCACTGCTGTGACATTTAATGCTGAGGGATGGCTTCAGCAGATACACTATAGACTTGGAAATCAACTTGGATGAGGAGATCCTGTATATGTATTTGGGTAGATGAATATCACCGCTTTTTATTTTTCAGAGTTTTAAGTTCATTATGTGTCACCTTTTTAAGGTTCTCCTCTACTCACTGTATTTCATGTGTGTCCCTCATTTATTTATCTCACTTCCTCATTTCTGTCCCATACTTATGTGTCTTACACTTATCCTTCAAGGCTTGGTTCAAATATCACCTCCTCTGGGAAGCCTTCCTTGTGATCTCCAGGCAGTTTAATGTCCTCTGCTGCCCCTGGAGTATGCATTTACAATAGCTATTAGAAAGTGGCTGCTGTAATTGCTCAAATCTCAACTCTCTCATCTGACTGGGAGTCCCTGGAGAAAAGGTCGGTTTAAGCACAGCCTACTATGCTATTTGGCACAAACAGGTGCTTGTACATACACAGTACAGGAAGAAATATTGCTTAGATTTCACACCTCATATGACTTTGAAACAATAACAACAAACACAACAACACATGACTTGAAGAGATTGCCCTAAGTTTTTGTAAAATGTTCTTTCTCAAGCTTCTTGAGATACTTCCTGGGATATTTTGATCATTTCTAGAAGGTTCCAGCCCCTTTTCTTTCCAATGAACACAGAGAGGCTGGGGTTTGGCCAATCCCAGGGTTTCTCTGGCCTTCCCCAACAGAGGCTCCTGAGACCTTTCTTGAGCCTACCAGGAACTACAGAAAGTTGCTTCATGTCAGGAACACACATTCTTGCAGAGCCAGTCACTACGGTGGAGGGTCAGCCCCTTGTGGTCCTCACTCTGCTTCTTCCACTCTACCCCCCGGAGTGCCTCCCCCACAAGGAGCCACTGTCCATTGCAACCGCCCACCATGGACACCTGCCCACAACAACGACTGCAGAGCAGCGTGTGACAGTATACATCCTGTGCGAGTGACCCAAACCCAGCTCCAGCAGGAGCGGTCACTAAGAGCCAGGCTACAGATAAACAGCTTTCCAAGGGAGAGGGCTGCACCCAGAGGGACCAAGGGTCATGTCGAAGGATTCCTTCCTAGAAGGAGGCTACTCATACCTCCATGAGTCAAATACAATCCAAACCTCCCCAGGCTTCAAAACAAAAAGCTCAGTAATGTTGGGTGGGAAAAATCTGGGAATTAAATGAAATCTTTGGGAGGGGGATGGGAAGAACAGGAACTGATGGGACTGAGTTTGAAATGTAGATACTTTTACTGTGCCCTGTCTCAGCCAGAAAGAGTTCCTTCATTTGGATCACCGGCGGGGCAGGGTGGGGTGGGGCGGGGCTGGGGGGGTGTCCCCAAACTCTACTGAGTTTGGCAAAATTGAATTAGCACCTTAAAGTGCTCCAAAACTCAGTCCCCGTTCCCAGATTGCTAAATCAGGTCTGGTTCTGAGCCGGTCCATCTACACCAGCACTCTCCATTAGCAGCCTGGAGGAGGGTGACAGCGGTTGCAAAATCAATGTCTCCTTTGACACTGGAGACTCTGACTTGGGGCCTTGGCTCAAGGCTCAAGAGAGGGTGTTTGGTTTCCATAAGGGAAAAGGTTCTCCTCTGTCACCTGAGTGGTTCCCAAGGGGAGGACGCTGGAGAGGGACCACAAAGTTCAAGGTAGAATGCAATCAAGGCTCTTCAAAGCAACCGGTCAGTGAAAATAAGCTAATTTGTAGCAACAGCGGCTGGCTGCAAAGGCCAAATCCACCTGCCAGCTTCCTTCCAGGTGCCTGGTGCTCACAGAGTCCTTGGAAACTGAGGCAGCCCACAGGGGTTGGTGCCAGGGCCAAGGTCACGCAGGTTGAGGCAGAGGCAGGATGGAAACACTTACGTCGGAGGATCTCCCGCTGCTTTCTGACGTACCAGGTGTACAGGGCGGCACGCTTCTGCGTCTTCATGGGGGTACCCTTGTTGAGATGCTGGGAGAGATGGGACTGGTTCAGGCCCGTGACGTCTACCACCTCCCTCTGCGGGATGTTGTGCTGCTGCATGTAGCCCTTGATCATCTTGGCCGCTCTCCAAGGGTCCTCGCTGGACAGAGAAGCACAGGGTTAGGGTGCGAGTGTACGCGCCTTGGGGCACAATGCTCGTGCCGGCTTAATACTCCACTGGGCCAAGCTGCAACCTTGGGGTAGGTGCGTGACCAAAACAGCCCACACAGTGCTGAAGACCCAGTGCTAGCCACCCCAGCCTTTTCTTCTGGGATCACCAGAGGCGGAGGATAGCTTCCCCCTCTTGAATGAGAAGGTATGAACAACTCTTGCTTATTTTGTTTCTGTCTCTCTCCTCTCTCGACAGAACAGCTCTTGATTTATTTTGCTTTCCTCCACATTCCTGGAACGTATGAGACTTAAAAGGCCAGAGACTCACGCACGGGCCAGTGCCGTGCCGGTGACATTAGCTTGAGGCTGGGCTGCCTGATTCTGCACCCACAGGGGCTGCTGCTATCAGTTTCCAAACCCACACCGGTTTCAGCCTCAACCTCCCCCACACGATTTTCCTTTTGAGTGGGTGTCTGGGTCTCTTTATCAGCCCGGGATGAAGCATACATGTTCCCCTCCTGAGACCCAACGAGGGTTTCTCGGACAGCAGCGCTCAGAAGTTCAGAAAAGTTTTCAGAAATAACCAGGCTGCTCCTCCCTGGGGCTGCAGAATCACGCCACTCAGCCAGGGCAGGTGAAAACACTGCCTACAGCCCCGCCTCCTGAATGAAACTTCATAGGGAGCAGGAATTCTAGAGTCAGAGGCTAGCCACCTGAAATGCCTCATTTTACCGTATTCTTACAGCTCTCCCCCGGCAAGGTAAGAGAACCCGGGAGGATGTTTCTCACACATTTCTGAACCTGGAGTTAAGAACAGGTTCTGGCTTTCATCCCTCGTAAACACAGGTACGCCAAAAAAGTCCTGTCTTGCTGCCACTGAATTTTGCCTATTTAAAATGTTTCCATCATGGCCAATCTCTTTCCTTGCAATCTGAAAAGGTAGCTTCAATGTGAACCAAGAAATTAAGAAATGAATGCAGAATACAAAAATACTAGACAAGCAAAATAGTCATTCACATGTGCTATTTTTTGCTAGCTTATTTATTCATATTACAAAAACACAATATCACTTTAGCAAGTGTGTCAGAATATGGAAATTAGTGTCCAATGAAACAATAAAAAAAAAACCCACAGTTGTCAGAGCAAAGCCTGGATTATAGTGCTGCAAATGTTATAGTCAATTTATTTCTAAATGGTGCCTTTAATATGTCAAATAAAACTATTTTTGTTTCATGAATAAAGTTTAGGAACCAAACCAATATTAGGTAAGCATGTGAATACTTCTAATTATTTTAGCAAGTCCTTGATACACAGACTTTGAAAGAACAATGTCTGAGACAAATGCAATCTTCGTTCAATTACACAGAATCCAATCAGAAAATTTCTCAAGAACTTAACGAAGAAATATAAATTAACGAAGCAACAAGAAAAAGAGAAAATATATCGCCATTTCTAACCTGAATTCACCTGAAGTCCAAGAAAAACGACGCCACCAATGTTTTAGACAAATTTGTGTAAATCTTTCAAAAGTTTATTTGTGGCGAATATTGTTATGTCACATAGAGACTTTTTTTTTTTTTGGTCTTAGCGTGGAAAAACACTTTCAACAAAATGAACGACAGCTTCAGAAGTTAGAAAACAGCGTTCGGCGTTTAAAGCTCTCACGGCAACGCGTGAGCAGATCTTTTGTTCTGCTGCGTTTACCTGTGTGTGCCCTGTGTGTCTAAGAAACCTAGCGAAATAGCGCAACGTTTTAAGTGTGAAGGGGTCGATGAAAAGGGTGAATGAACTCCACAATTAAGACTTGAAAGAAAAAAAAAAAAAGCCCAGGGAAACCTTTCACTGGAAGACCAGACCTTACAGCCCGAATAGAAAGGACAGCAGTCGGGGTAAGATGGCGCAGGTGCACTTTCAGGCTTTCTGGCCCCTGTATTCATCTGCGCCCCCAGGGCAGGGCTGGGAGAGCCGGCAAGAGGTTTTACCTGAAAATCTCATTCACGGTCAGGGGTCCCCAACCCCCGTAAATAACGCGGGCCTGGGACGCGCGCGGGACCTTTGTGTCCGTGCGCAGGTGTTGGGTGCCGGGGCCTGTGCGCCCGCGGGGGAACAATGCCCTCGCCGCCCACCGGCCCCGACCCCCGGCTGCAGCCCCACCCGGTCTAGGAGGTCGCGCTGGTGGCGGTTCCGAACGCCCCCCTCCCAGCGGGCACGCGCCAGCTCCGGCCCGGGCCGGCAGTCCCCAGCCCGCCTTCCTTGCCCTTCGCCCTTCCAGTACAGAGTGTCCAGACGCTCCGCAAAGTGACTTTGTTATCCGCCTTGGGAGTGGAGCGGGAGGGAAGGGTGGAGAGAAAAAGAAAAAGAAAGGCTCGGGCCCCGCTGTGCAGCGACCCCGGAACTACTGGCAATTTTTTTTTTTTTTTGAAAAATCACTTTAATAAAGCCCGACGTCCCCAGGGGTAGAGGAGGGAGCGAGGAGGAAAACCCTCCGGGTTTGTCTCTCGTCTCCACCCTCGTCTCCACCCTCCCCGAGGGTCTCCAGCCCCCGGGGAAAGAGAGGGGGGCTCCCCGATCCGTTTGGGGGAGTGAAGAGGGCTACGGCCTCGGGAAACCCCGGCCGGGCCCGCCGGCGTCAGCAGCCCCAGGAGCTCCGCGACGGGCCGCAGCTCTCCGGCAGCCCGGGTCGGGCGCCAGGGCGGCGCGGGGACCCGGCCCGGTGCGCCCCGCAGCGCGGAGCGTGTGCGCTGAGAGCAACCCGGCGCCCGCGTCTAGAGTTCCTTCCCCCGCTAAGCCGCGTTTACAACTTCACCAATGAATAACCCGCCTCTCTTTTCAACCTAATCACGGTGCTTTGTGTATCTTTCTGTTGATGATTTATAGAAATAAATTAATAACACCCGACTCCACGTGCTGCGGTTTTGTTACATCTCAGCTGCGGCCAGCCCGGCGCCAGGAGGATTGTGCTGAGGGGCTTCCCAGACCCTCCCAGAACCGCGTTCAGAGCCGGCGGCTGCAGCCGAACGCTGGGGCCTCTTCCCTGTGGGTCTCCCGGCCAGTCGGCCGGGCCAGGTGCACCTCCCGGCCGCCCAGGCACCCCTGGCTTCCTGGCCGGGGAAAAACTCTCCCTCTGCTCGGGGAAGCGGTGGGAGAAGAACCCCATCTGTGAATTACAGAAAAACGCTTTATATGTATATATATTTTTAAAAGCTCCAGAGGCGCTCCCAATGGCTAAAGTGCGAGGCGCCAGGTCCCCGAAGCGCAAATTCAAATGCAAGGTCACCTCCCGCCCCAACAGCCGCCTGACAGCGGGCGAGGCCGCTCATTCTCCGGCACCGGCGGCTGAAGTTGCCTTGCTTCCGAATCGGAGGGCCAAGTAAGGGGCTCGGGCCCGAAGCAGGGTGGCCCTGAAAGCGACTAGCGATGTCGGGGAACCGCTTCGCTCCCTGGATAATCAGTAACCAGCTGTCAAAGCGGGGCGGCCGCGAGGACCTGCTGCAGGCGATCCGGGCCCGGCGTCGAGGGCCGGTCCACCTGGATCCCCCACCCTGGGAGAGCCGGGTGCGGCCCGGAGCGCTCTCCTTCGCTTGTTCCGTGACCGGATCCCTCTAAAGAGCCAGAGTCTTAACCACACCTGCCCCAAGCAACCCCAGCTTGTTCAAGCGTTCTCGGCGCCGGAGCCACCACCCCCCACACCGCATCCCCGTGACCCGACATGCAAACATTCCCTCTTTGCAAATAGAAACCCTACTCGGGGGGGAATTCGGGGGGCTTCCAAGGGTGCTGCAAACGGGAGCGCCCACCCGAGAGTTCGCCTCGCAGATCCCCGCCCCCGGTGTGGTCTGCTCCTCGGCGGAGAACTGCAGGTCGCTGCGCCCCAGGCCAGCCAGCGGTTTCCCCAACCTTGGGCAGCACCGGGGAAGTTGCGTGGGCCAGCGGGCCCGCTTCCCGAGAAACCTCAGCTGGTCTCATCGCACCCGCTCGCGCCTTCGGCCGTGTGGGCAAAGCTCCCAGCAAAGAGCCCCGCAACCCCAGTGTCCCCGGGGCCGAGTGCCAGCCCCACAGGGAAGGCCCCTGGGAGCCGGACGCTGGCCTGAACCGAGAAAGAGGGAAGGTGCAGGGCTCCCTGGCGGCCGGGCTGCGGGAGGGACTCGGACGGATCCAGACGTTAGGACGGAGGCAGCGCGCCACGCGGGGGACTTCTTCCGTGGGGAGCCTGGCGTGGTGGGCGCAGGGCCCCGGTGCCCGGGATCGGGCGCGTCCTCCCCACCTTGCCTCGCGCTTACCTGAGCATCCGATCCACCTCGGCCCTCTGCTCGGCTGCCTCCTCGGTATTGAGTGCCTGCAGTTCCTTGAGGATCGGAGGGGTGTCATAGTCGTCGCCGTCCTCGGAGCCCTCGTCCCCGGACAAGCGGCCCTTGGAGTGGCCGTTGGTGAGAGTGTGGAAGACCGGCTTAGTATCGGGTTCAGCCCCGCTCCCGGGGGACAGCGGCAGCGTCTCCAGCTTCACCCCGAAGTTCGGGGAAGGCAGCAACTCCTCCAAGGCCTGGACCAGCACCTCCTTGGTGACCCCGGAGCTCAGCAGGGCGCTCAGGAGTTCTTGCTGCAACGACGTCAGCTTGGACACCATTTTCCAAGGACGTGGAAAGAAGGGGGTACGGGGGTGGGCGGGTGCGCCAGAGGAGGGTGGAGGGGAGTCCCACGAGCGAACCCCGAATCCCACAACCCCTCCACCCTTCGGACCTCCAGACACTTGTTACTCCCCGGGGTCCCGGAGTCTCCTCCAAGAGGAGTCAGGAAACTTCTAACTTGCCATGATCGCCACCATTAGGCCATATAAGATATGCAAATGAGCGGGCGGGGCCTAGTTCTGGGTGCGATGCAAATGGTGGTGGGGTAGGGGGAAAACCGAGAGAGAGGGAGAGCCCAAGGGGCAGACGTGCCGAGCGGGAGAGCCGGCCGGGCAGCCGGGCCGCCGGGCGCGCTGTTCCCACGCTGGGGCCCAGGATCTGCTTTCCCCAGGCGAGATGTGGCCGAGCTCAGGACTCGGCTGGCCGAGTGTCTCGCAGCCCCGGCGCGGGGGCTTTTCCGATCCCTGCTGCGCTGTGGATTCTCTGCTTTTAGCCCCGAGAGAAGAAATCCGGGTCCAGGTGAGAGCTGGAAAGAGTTGGGGTGCGCTTGTAAGAAGGGAAGGTGGCGAAGAGGAAACACCCATCAGGGGTTGTGGAGATCTGGCAGTACCGGGTGCACAAGGCCAGGGAAAACTGAAGGTTAAGGGTGGGAGGGGGCGGCGATGGGCAGAGGGAGAGGGACTGGGAGGGGATCCCAGGGGCTGTCTGCAGGGTCACCGCTCCGCAAACCTCTCGGTCCTCCCGGCAGGCCGAGGGCGCAGGTGAGAGGTGAGGAGGCCTGGAAAGGAGCCCCCCACTCGTTCAGGACCAGAGGGAGCAGCCCGGTGAGGCTAAGCTCCCCCAGCAGCAGAGTGGCACCTGGGAGAGCCACAGGGGAGCCTGGGACCTGGGCCTCGGATTCTGGGAACAAGAAAGTTCTGGGAGGGCCTCCAGGCCTGAAGCAGTGAGCACAGAGCTGGGCCTGCCGTCCCAGTGGCAGTTGGAGCCACGGCTCCCTCCCGGCCCACTCATTCCTGATTTGTTCCTAGTTCCCGGACATCCACGGTGTCAGCGACTTGGATGAGCTCTGCTGAAGTGAAGTCTCCTTCCCCTCAGCCTTGGGGCCTGGGTGCACAAGGTATGTTTTGGCCTTTCCAAAGCGTCTCTCCGAGAGAGAAATAAAGAGGCACCCCCAAACTTAGCAAGCCTGGAACCTGACCTGCATGGAACACAAGGGAAGTGACTTCTTAGGACCTAGCCTGGTCTGAGCCTGGCTTGTATGGGGATGTAACAGCAGGGGGTAGTTGGAGACTCTGGGCAAGACCACCTTTGGCAACTCCTACTAGCTGGTCACAGGGTTCACCGGCCTGGCTAGGGAGTCAGGCGGCCAGCTTTCCCTGGCAAATCTAGCCCAACTGGAACCTTAGAATCAAAGAGATCAAGTGCTGGGTTGAGGGTGGGGAGGAGAGTGTTGGAAGGAAAATTCACAATCAGCAGGAATCTTGCCAAGGCGCCTCTAGGCCTGAGGTCCCCCCTCCCTATCAAGGTTATGGGGTGGGGGGGCAGAAGCAGGGGTCAGGTGAGGGGGAGAGATTCCAGCGTGAAGGGGGAAGAGTTGAGCAACTCTGTCCCAACAGGTTCCTAGGTAGGTGCGGACAGCTTGGTTCAGGCTGCTGCTGAGCCAAGGGTCGGTGAGGTGCTCCGCTCGTCAAGGACCCCGGAAAACGGGCTTTTTATATCCCTACCCACTCTTGCCATGCCCCTCTTCCTGCCCCCACCTCCTGTTAAAAGCATCAAGTGCAATGAAACTAGTTTCTGGTTTAAGCTGGGAAAACCCATTACAAAACAAAACAAAACACCAGCAATCACTTCCCCTTTAAGTAGGAAACTTTGATTTGAGTCCCAAGCTTCTTTCTTCCTCCCGCCAAGCAGACCATGGGAAGGTCCAAGAGGCATCCCACGCAGCACAGTGCAACGTCAGTTCAGGTGTATCTTGCAGGTGCTCTGGTTATTCCTACACAGTAACTTCCTGTAGTCCTTCTCCACTTGTGTGTGCCACTCAGCGCTGTGTAACCACATGTGCATGTGGGAATAGGTTTAATTCCTCTATACGGAAATGTACCCAACAGATGGCCTCTCTGGATTGGAATGGGTTTGCTCATGAAACCCTTCATGTAGGCGTCTCCTAAATACAAGACTAAAAATCATCCGTGTGCTTCCCACGGGACTCGCGGCAAGGGACTCACACAGGACTCCCAGTTGGAAGTTGAGAAGGTAAGGTAACATGGGGCAGGTTCTAAAGGTTGTTTGCAGCTGCTGGGGGAGTAGGTGAGAAGGGCTGTGATCTGGGCTCAGGACCTTTGAGCAAGATCAGGTTAAAAGAGGAATCTGCTTTTGTGCAGATTCCTGCAGTAGGGCAGACTCCCGCATGTTTGGGAAAAGGTGCAGCATGCAAACTTGCTGAGAAGCAAGATAGCTAATTGTCTTGCGCCTTGTGCGCCTTGTGCCTTTGTGCTCCCCGCTTGTTTTGAAGAGCCAGTGGATTTGAAGAGAACTGTATTAGACTGTTGCACTGAGTGATGAGTGTGCAGTTCCAATCCCAAGGCTTTGAGCCATGCAGTCCTTGGTGCCAAAGAAGTTACAGTCCACTGGCTCTTCCATCCATGAAGGGTTTCTGAGTGCCATGCTGGCCGTGCCACAGAGTGGATCAGCCATGTTCTATGTCTCTTCTGTCCCGTGCACACAGTCTACCCCTCCTTGCCCATCCCCTTCCATGGTTCCATCTGTTCCCAGAAGGGAGGTCTTGGCCATCCTGTTCCGGTTGCTCCACTTCCCAAGGCTTTCCTGCTGGTTCAACACAGTGTCAGAACGCTCCACTTGAAATCATCTCTTGAGTGGAATGTAAGTACTCTTTTGTCCTGCTCTGCAACATGGGAGATGTCTCCCTGTCAGCCAGCAGCACTAGACAACAGCCAGCCTAGACAACAGTCCAGACAAGAGCCCAAGCTCTTAGTTCTGGCTATACTGCCCCTTGCTAGACACCTGTTCCCTTGCCCAAAGCCTTTGGCTGGCAACTGTCTAGGTCTTTGATCCTGCTTTGGATAAATGGCTGCTTGGTTTGGGTGACCATTTCAATTGCCCACCTTTCCTATAAGTTGAAATTCCTAAGCGCTGCATGGTGGCCTAGTGGCTAAAGTTTTCACCTTGCATGTGCCGGGATCCCAAATGGGCGTCGGACTATGGATGCTGGTTCCCAGCAGCCCCACTTCCCATCCAGCTCCAGCTTGTGGCCTGGGAAGGCAATTGAGGATGGCCCAAAGCTTTTGGACCTTGCATCTGCGTGGGAGACCTGGAAGAAGCTCCTGGCTCCTTGGGGAGTAAATCATCCGATGGAAAATCTTCCTCTCTGTCTCACCTCCTCTCTGTATATCTTTCTAATGTAAATAAATAAATTCCTACCATACTGAATTCACTGGGATGTCCATTCCCAGGCCTTTGGGCACATGGGGTAAGAACTTTTAGGTCACACCTCTGCATAGTTGTGTCCGTGACATTTTTTACTGACCCATGAAAACACACAGCACAGACTGGAGACTCCACAAGGGGCAGGAAGCTTGTCACGAGCTGGCTACTTACTCTTCAAGGCCTGGAGAGGTCCCCATGCAGACTAGATACTCAATAAAGTACTTGCTGAACAAATGAACTAGCGATCATCTCTGGGTGATGAGATAAGCATGATTTTTGTTTCCTTATTTGTACCTCTCAGATTTTCCAATTTGTCCACAATGGAATTTTAGTTTAAAAGTTACTTTTCCAGATAGGGAAGGATACATACAATGTGATTCCACCTACGTTTAAGTTTAGAAGCGGGAAGCTTCGTCCTTGGCGATGGAGATGTCTGAGATCCTAGACAGGTTCTGTGTTGTGACGAGGAGGGCAGAGCCATCATCAGGCTATCTACGCAAGGGGTGTGTGTGTGTGTGTGTGTGTGTTCAGGTTGCACCTCAGTGCCACCTGTACTAAAGAATCCATCCCAAAGTGTGGACTGGAAGCAGCAGACAACATCTCTTCACCCACCTCGGCTGGTCGCAGTTGCTGTGTGGCACTCGTATTCTTTTCCACTCGCCATGAATAAAAGTTACGGACCGGTGTCTTCCAGCAGTCTGCAAATGTTTCCTGTGGAGGGCTGGAGAGCAAATGTTTTCCACTCTGTGGGCCATGCCACCTCTGGGCCAGCTACTCGAATTGCCCTTTGTAGACAATGCACACATAAATATGGGTGACCGTGACTTGTTTGTAAAAGCAGCGGGCAACTGGGCTGGGCCCATGGGTCATAGTTAGTCAGCTCCTAGATAAGCACTTACGCAGGTAGCATTGCCCGGATCTGAAAGGGGCCTTGGAAGTCACCCCACTTCCCCTTCATCCTCTTGGGGCAAAGGAAGCAGAATTGGGGGGGCGGGGTGGAGCCGGGTGGATCAGCTGCTTTGTGGAGTGTGAACATAATTTGGGGCCAGTCCTTAAATTATTTTTAGCCTTTATATTATCATTATATGTAAATCTTAAGAATAGAATTATGCCTCAGGGTTGTTGGAAGAATTAAATGAGGTGACACAGAAAACAGCTTGTGTCAGGGTTGGCACAAATCAAGCATCTGCTCGGTCACAGCTCGTGGCTTAGGGCTCCTGTCTGCACAGCTTCTAGGTCACATTTACTCACAGATCCCATTGAGCACGGACTCTGAAGTCCTCCGTGGAGCACGGTGAGGAAATAACAAACCCCATCTCTCTCAAGAGACCCCAGCCAGCTCAGCTTTCATCACCCCAAACCAGCTCATAATGGATTACCTTTGCTAGGGATACTCCTAGGGGTCGCCATTTCTCTCATTTTGATTCGGTACCCTGCCTCCTTGCACTGGGTCATTTTTAGAAATAGGATGTTCCCAGTCATTTGTAAAAGATTAAATGAAACACCAATGGCCTAGTATGGTATTAAATGAACAAATACTACACCCAGAAGGAGTCGCCTTCTTCTGCTCCAGTGGCGCCCCCTGACCCCAAATGCAGGACCACAGTGGGCCCAGCACAGAGCCCAGAGCTCCACAGTGAGCCCAGCACAGAGCAGGCGTTCCAGACATGCTGATGGAACCAGAGGGGCTAGGCAGTGCTAGTTAAGGGAAGAAAGTAATTCTCCTGACTGAAATTTTCGGGAGACTGCT